AAAGTGGAATTAAAAGCATTGAACGAAAGGAGTCTTGGGTGTTTTTATGGATCACCAAAAGGTGTGTTGTCATGTGAACTCTTCTCTGTAGAGTTCTTTTTTATTTAGGCTTCGTTCTTTTAAAGCGCTGAGGCTTTGGCAAACACTAAAATATAAAATAAAATAGACAAGACTTTGTGAGGTGTTTGGCTATTAATGTCTTACGTTTTATACTATTTCAATCTCTCAACAGCACTCTGAGTGTACACTATGTTATCCATTTGATAGATGGACAAACTGAGGGCCTGGAAAAGTACAGAGGCTTGTCCGGGATGACACAGTAAACTGCTGATGGATCCCAGCCCAGCCTCTTGACTCAGCCCAATGATGCCGTTGTCACGGACCCGCTGCATAACATGACACAATGCTCTTCCTGTTGGTTCTGTAATTCACACTCATTTCGCTAGGACATGCACTGAGGCAAAGGGGGAGACAGAAATCTAAGTGTGATTTCAAATGAATCAGTTTATTACTCCCCTACAGGGAGAGACTTAGAGTGCACATAAGTTAAATATTTAGTTTAGCCTGAATTCTCAGTTGGTGCTTACTTGGGGTTGACTCTTTAGGCATGATATACTATTCCTATTGCGGAAAGCAAGTGATAGTGTGTGTATACTCACAGAGACAGAGGAAAAAGGAGAATGTGTGTTAGAGGGGGAGGGTCAACTCCTGGCTGGTTTAAATAAGCCAAAGGATGAGATAAACTATGAGGCAGGAGATGAGAAGGTAAACTGAAACCGGTCTTTCAGATGCACTAGGACAGGACACCAAAGTGCAGGGCTCAACAGAAGTGGAACAAAGAACTGAGAGAACAATGATGGAAGGTCAAGTGGGAGGTATGCCATTGGGAAGCAGGGCCCTGGTGAACTCAGAGGAAATTTGCCAGATGCTGGGTTTTGGCTCTGGAATCCCTTTCATGAGCAGACTTTGCAGGCCCAGCTGGGAGCAGGACTGTGGGTGTGGGGAAAGGGGTAGGCCCAGGCAGTATTTCATTTCCTCTTCTTGTGGCCTGAGTGCTCTGCCCTTGAGTTTCAGAGTTTGGGGCTTGGAATCAGCATACCTGGGTTCTTGATTTAACTTCACTGCTACAACTTATGTGACTTCAAAAGTACTTATTCACTATGTTTTGAAACAAATATATAGAAGAATTAAAGTAATTATTCACCCAGTCCCTAACTCATATGATGCTATTATGATAATATTGAATTTTAAAAATCCAAGAAACTCCCTAAATCTTGCTATACCTTAACCTTGGTCAGAATATGACAGATGAGTTAAATTCACACAATTCTCAAGATAATGATAACTATTGTATAGCACATATTATGTTCGTAGAATTTTATATTTGTGGACTACTTGAATAACCCTGACAACAATCTATGAAATGGGCATTATTGTTTTTTCATATTACAGAGAAAATAAAAATGTCTCGCCTAAGGACATTATTAAGTAGCAGGATAGCATGTGAATCCAGTAAGTCTGGCTTCCAGTTTATATTCTGAATCACTATGTGATAATGTCTCTACCTAACGGCCAAAAAGAACCAAGACCCAAGTTTTAGGCCTGTTCTTTGAGCCTGGACACATCGAGCATTATTAGAACCACATTTAGCTGAAATGAAAAACAAAGTGGAAAATCCAGACTTATAAGGCCGGCAGATTAGGAGATAAATAAAATAGGAAAACTTCATAAAGGAATTTGAGACAGAATCTATTTTGACATAAGATCCCTATTTTGCTTAAAATAAGACTCAATTTGTAAAAAGTATATTCTCAATATCTTTGGTCAAATTTACTTTATGCTAGGTCTCTCTTTATTAGAAATATGAATATTCTTGAATATTCATTGACTGTTAACAAAATAACACCTAGCGAGTTGTACATGAACCTTGTGAATAGCAGTCAATTCTTACAATTTTCCTTGGTTCTGCTAAGTGACTTGTTTCGGCAGTGGAAGCCAACCTACATGACAACATTTGGGCTTGGAAACTGCTTGGCTATTAGATCCCATGCTCTTGGACTATTCTTGCTACGTAAACATCCCTATGCTAACCTGTTAAAGACAACATACAGATCATGCAACCATCATATCATTCTCTGACATCTGAGAGAGGACATCTTGGACCATCAAGCCGGTTGAGCCTCCACACCAGTATGGCTGCCTGAATGGCACCAGGCAAGATCAGCAGAAGAGTCACTCAGCTGAGCCCTGTCCAAGTTGCTACATCACCTAGCTGCAAACAATGTAGTTGTTTTAGCCACTAAATTGTGGAGTAAATTCTTTTGTAGTAAAAGCTGATAGAGTCCAAATCCAAGGCATTGAACATAGAAATTATTGAGGAACCTGAAGCATTTTCAAAAGTAGGAGAGTCAGTTGACTGAGAATGTAAACTTGTAAGTTTTAGGTTGTGGGGGTGACTTGAGATGCCATTGCTTGCTTTACCTGCCCTTCACTCTGTGACCTCTGACACAAGCTGTTGGGAAACAGCAAGCCAATCTTCATGATCATACAGGCGATCAGGGCTAAGAGAAGAAGAGGGGTGATGCTGCATCCCGAGAAAGCCAATGATTGACTTTCTAATCTGTTGGCAACAAAACGCTCTACAGTAGCATAACTGATATAAGGGGCCAGCTTTCCACATTGTGCAGGGCGATATCAATACCCCTCAGCATTATTGCTACAGATTGAAGGATTTGAGGCACAGAGCAAGAGAAGGACTAAATGAAAGACAATGAAAATCTTTCAGGACTTTTAAAAGAATAACATCCTAACTCAGTCCAACTTATTCATTTAAAAATGAGAAATAGAGGCTCAAAGAGGGCGATCCAGCTAAGGCCACACAAGCTCAGTATGATTACATAAATAAACTGCCTGAACATTAATAGCAACAGCAACACAGAGCTCAGGACATGAACATTGGAGCCCAAGGAAGAAGTCATGTCATGTAAACATTAATAATTCATCTGCCTTTGACTGATTTGAGAACAGTGTCCAACTAATCAATTAAGATGGCAAAGAATCCATAAGACACCTTGATGACAATAATTTTTCAAACGTGAGTGGGAAACCTGGGAGACCAAGGAGAAGAAAAAGTACACTAAAATTTCATGATGATAAAGATGCTAACATTTACTTGTAGGCCTTTCCATTGCCTTTCAGTTATATTACCAATTAATAATTGTCATAAGTGGCCAAAATAGGCTACTAAATTCCTTAAAATAAAAGGATAAAGAAATGGGTACACAAACAAAATTTTCTCCTTAGGGTGGAAGCACAATACCAAAAACCCACTGCCTAGTAGTTGATTTCAACTCACAGCCATCCCACCCGACACAGTAGAACTTTTCGAGGCCATACATCTTTAGGAAAACCGACAGCCTCATCTTTCTTCCACGGAAAGGTGGGTGGGTGTGCACCATCAATCTTTCGGTTAACAGTCACACGCATCCCCATGGTGCCAACTGGAGGGCTCCGAAGGACAAATGGTGGTTCATGATTCAGCAAATCATTATTAAATCCTGACCTCATATATGTAAAACCTGACAATTATAGCTCATGTCATTCTATATGAAACAGGAAAACCCCAGTCTATTTTCTATTTCCAACTGTGTGAACCTGAGCAAGTGATTTCCCCTAGGCGTAGTTGCTTCAGGTCTCAAGTGTTTCGTCAATAAACAAGGGTCTCGACAACTCTAAACATAAGGAACGGAACCGGAACACAACCACAGGTAAGACTGAATCCAACACCTAACATTTTGTTAACTGGCTATGAACCTGTACTTCACCTCTTTTCTCATCTAGGTAAATGGAGCAGTCACACCCATCTCTCAGATTCGGCAAGCATAGAAAGAATATCTAATGTGTCCAGCACAGTAACTGGACAGGAGTAATGGGAGTACTCAATCAGGAAAATTATGATTCTTTCCTTCTGGAAGATTTACTTAACCTCTACTATGTGGCGGGTATTATTCTAGGTACCAAGGCTCATAGGTAACCAACAGACAAAAACCTCTGCCTAGTGTGCTGTCATTCTAATGCATGGTGACCCATAACTCTAACATTCAAGGGTTGATCTCCCTGATGCTACATGGGACTCTCTACGTCCATCCTGAATGTCACCATGCATAGAATTAAGAGCAATTCGCCCCTGGGAGGCTCATCCTAAACTGGATGGGTTCTTACTGCTCACTTAGCTTGGCTCCCCAATGCTTCTCTTGGATTCTCTTGGTTCGAAGTTAAAATGCGTGGCTGCGAACCAAAAGGCTGAAAAACCAGACTCGCCCCACAGGTACCTCTGAGGAAAGACTGGCGAGGCACTTCCAGAAAGTAGCCCTGGAGTGCAGTTCGACACTTCCACCCAGAAGCACCTTGAGGGCAACTGGCTAGGTGTAGAATGACACCTACTAGTGAGGGCAAGAAACAAGCCTGGGCTTCATACCTCTCTTCCACCTGAAATGCTCCCCCAACCACGCCCCACTGCCTCGCCAAATCTGCACCGGAGCAGGCCTTCAGAACCCTCCACCCCAAGGCAAAGTTTAAGTAGAGGCATTACCTGCTCGATCCCACCAGAGGTCGCCCTCTCACACAAGCCCAAGCAAACAGACCCAGGCTTTACTTTCTCCTTGGGAAGCAGGGACATTATTTTCTTTCTCTATTTTTCTGTATTAAAAAGATTTCTTCACGGCCATAACTTAGATCTCTACACTAAAATAGAGCAACAGGAAGATATAATGGTGCATTTCATTTATGAATGACCTATAATAAATTACCCTGAAGTGTCCCGAGTGCCAGAAGACAGAACGCTTTGTCTGCCCACGGACTGTATTTCACATACTTTAATTTAGTTGACACATAAAGCTCATTTGACATTTTGCAGGTATTGGTGGAAGGCGAGGGGGTTGGGGAGAGGACAACGCTGGGCTGGGCAGGGCGCGGGGGGCCGCGGCCAGGGAGAAGGATATTCGGTTCTTGTTCAGGGTTAAGGTGTGGAGCCTCGGCAGCCCAGGCAACAGGAGGTCATGGGCCAGCAGATTGTTGTCCAAGATGAGCTCTTCTAGGCTCCGGAACGCGCTCAGTCCTTCCAGTGACCTGCAATGACAAAGGCAACAGGACAAATGATCCTGCACTAAATCAGGGAGGCCATTATGAGGCGAAATAAATATTTTAACCTTCCCTTTCAGGACTGGGAATAGTTTGGGCTTGGTGCCTGTCAGCGAAGTGAATGACAAGAATTAGTAGTGGAGAGTCAGGGCGGGGGCAGCGGGGAGAAGGGGCCGCTGGCACTCACCGCATCCTTCACGCATTGCCAACATGAAGGATGAGGGTCACTTAGTGAGGAGCCAGGATCCAAAACAAAGGGCTTCAGACACGGCCCGCAGGATAAATTTGTCAATGTCTTTTGCCTTGAGGCACCCAGCCTCGGCTGACCCTAACCTCCACTCCCAAGATAAATAACTCTGTCACAGTTCACCTCCATTCCCTGGACACAAATTTAAGTTGTCATCCATCATGCCTGCCCCGAAATATCATACCCCTCTTACAATAATAAATATAACTTCAAGCAAGTATCATTTCTTAGCTGTACTCCTCTGTACAGTGCTGGGAAATGACAGGGAAGCTCCCTCTCTCCCCTTCCACCACCTCTAACTTCTTCTCCTGGCTTTACTCTTTACTAATCGCTCAGTTTGCTTCTGCCCAGTGCCTCCTTGGTGGCTCCCCAGGCCGGGCATCTGCAGAGCTGCATAATCGCTTCTTCCTGAGAGGCTTGATTGCTTGCTCTTTCGTCCTTTCTTTGCATTTATTCATTTTCTGTGTTTGTTGTTTGGGGGATGTAGGCTGGATTGGGGAAGTTCTCCCTCAAAGCCCCTGGCTTGAAGTTGCTGTTTTAATTTATGGAAAGTGGATTTCTGACATTGGCTTGGAAAAACATGCAGAGAGCAGTCCAGTCGTGGGGATGTTGAAGTAGTAAATAAATGAAAATCTAAAGGAATTAAGTACCTGGCTGGGGCAGGTGGGAGGTGGGGGTGGGGTTGGATCAGAATGCCTAACTGAAAGTGAACTCTTAACTTCATGGGCTCTCATGAATATTGGAGGCGGAGGAGAGGAGGACAGTTGTCTGCACAAGTGCTTGGAAGGGGACATGCAGACATTAATTAAAGCAAGCTGCCAGCCGAGGGAACTTATACAGAGACACACACACTCCTAACTCCTTCACCTGCTGGACCCTAGAGATATGCTGAGCTTGCACAGTTCTGACAGCTGAGCTACACTGTGGACCAGAGAGAGGGCTTATGTGGGATCACCTGGTGATTTTATACAATGTACAGAGTACGGGCTGTAATGCACACTATTTATTCATTTAGTGATAACCAATACATAACCAAGCATACAGTCTCTAAGCTTGCATGTGCAATGTCTCCACATCTGGTGTGAGTGTGAACTTTAGCACCAGAGCTTTCTCAAGACATCAATAGCTCGGTGGAACCTCTGCCAAGAGGACGCCTAAACAGGGAGTCAATCCCTGAGAGGTGGAAAACTGCCTTATGAATATGTAATTAAATCTGCAGAATCTACTGGGCCCATCGCCCTGCCTGCACAGCCACTAAAGCCTAACACCTCGCAAATGCCTGCTCCTCTAGCCAAGACTATCTGTCCCATAGCAAGCCCATAATACTGTGTATGCTTTTGGGAAAGGGCCAAGGGGTTCTCCTGTTTTATTTCCTTCTCCAACTTCCTCCTTGTCCTCAGGGTCTCGGGAGGCAAAATAAATGTACACGGATCTGGGCAGGAAAGCTGGGGTTTTATCTCAGCTGCACCACTTACTTGCCTTGTCCATGTAGGCGTATCACTATCCTACCTGAGCTCCCTCAGTGTCATGTCAGCTTATAAGACTAACACACATCTCGCATCGTGTCCCATATATCATATGAGTCAGTAAAATGCTGGTTTCTTTCTTCCTCTTTCTTCTTTCATTCATTGTTTTTCCAGAAGCTTCAGAAGGTGTGCTCTCCTGGTGGCAGATGAACAAATCCACAGCGGTTGTGCAGGATGTTTGAATTCCACAGGAAATCTTCTGCCTTTTCTTGAAGCTCCTGCCTCCATAAAGGGTTAATTAGGGATGATCCAAAAGTCATTTTTAGAAGTAGGCTCTGGTTTACCACAAGGGGAGTTGAGGCCACTTCTCCTCAGGGGGCCTTCTGGGCAGCTAATGACTCCTTTGGGCTGAAATATTTGTTGGGCTCTAGTCAAAGCCTGCATCCAAACACACATTGTTCCTGAGTTATGTGATGCAAATATAATTTCTTATCATGAGAATCAGCAAATGGTTCACAACTGGCAAGCAGAAGAAAGCTCCCTTCCAAAAGTGCTCCAGGGGAGGGATATAACAAAATAACACAGCATGGAGAGGAACAAAGCCTGGGGACAAGAGTGGAGCACCCACCAAGACAGCCCTTTGCTCAGGGTGAGTGGGGCAGACACTCGGCAGAGCTGGCTGTTCAAAGCCCCACCACCTATCTGTTTGTAGATTTCTCTTTTTTGTTTGTTTCTTTCTTTTTTCTGCCTAGTAATATTATTAGCTGTTCAGATTAATGGAATCCATGCTTTCTGAGAGGTTATAATGAATGCATTTCTATTTCATGTCATCTGTGTCAAATGCTTTTGCTACTTTAATCCACTAAACTCAGAGCTCAGGGATGGGGGAGAGGGAGGAAAGAGGGTAGTGAGAGAAGACTGGTCAGAGGGGACAGGATTGCTGGGGCTTGGTTGCAATTGGAGGCCACTACATTGTGCTAGACTGGGTTGACAAGAGAAACAAATCCAAAGACCCTCATATATGTGTAAGAGAGAGTTTTATATCAAAGAGCAATTGGATATCAAGAAAATATCCCAGCCCAGCCCAGAACAAGTCTATAAGTCTGATATTATCCCATAAGTTATGTCCAATACTAGTCCATAAATCCTTCATCAGACTCACACAGCACATGCAATGATGCAAACTACAGGAAGATCGCAAGCTGGTGGGTGAAAAGCCTTGTGGATCCAATGGTGGTGAAAGCATCTCAGCACTGGCACTGATCTCCTAGTGGCTCCTCCAGCTCCCCCAGTCTGTCTCTTCAATGTGAAGGAGAGAGAGAGGAAGTTCCCAGAATCCTCATGGGAAGGCCATGCCCACAAGGAGGCATCATCAGGCTGTGACCCAATTGACAGGCTAGACTCCACCCCTACACTTATTTATCAAGTTTACCTGAAATTATGTAACTACCACACACATGAACCTAGAAGAGTGTTCTATTTGCGGGGTCTGTTTTCTTTCTTTCTAAAGAAATTACCTGTGTCAGTCTGTAAATTCATACCCCGATATACACGATGCCTGAAAATAGATAAGTGCTGTTGATTAAAATGATGCCAACACAAGGCTGTAAGGAGGCACGCAGGTAAACTGTTCAGTGGGATGAGTACAGTAGAAGGAAAGGATGAGGAAATGGATATTTCTCTGCTAAGACCTTGAGTGTGCACAACAAATGCATCCCAGACTCCTGGATCCTAGTGGCTGGCGCTTCTTGCCAGTCTAGCTGCTGCCATGTGAGATGTGGCTGAAAAAACAAGGCAGGCATCTCTGCCACCCCATGATCAGGGTTTAGAGGAAGTAGCAAGATGTCCTCCACAAGCTCAGCACAGCCTGCTGGAAGAAGATCTTCTAGTCTGGTCAAGAGATGCCAAGGACAGGCAGAGAGACAGGGCATCCAGTTCAGCAGGTGGCTTGCTCTGGAAATCTAATCAGCACCTAAGAAGCACGTTCTCTGCTGCTTGCTTCCCTCTCCATGGGCAGAGAAAATGGCCCATTATCTCACCCACCAGTACCATCTTGGTTACTTTGTGCACAGGCTCTGGCTGGGGTCCCCTAGGAGCCAGGATAGCCCAGTGCCATTTCCAAAGTCACATCAAAATGACAAAACATCACAAAGCATTTGGCTCTGGTGGATTCAAACAGAGAGAACTTTTAAGTTTCCACTGTAATTAACCCTATCCTCGTTAAGATAATTATGATCAAGCTTCCTGTCACAGTTAATATCCCAGCATCATTGCCCGTGGCTCACACTCTGCTCTCATTAGCTTATAAAAACAGCTGCACTAAACAGGCGGTCACTGCCCTGCCGACAAGAGACCAGTGACTGAGCAGCCTGATGGTGGGCCCTCGGTCAAGAGAGGGGCCCCTAAAATGAGCCTCCTTTTAACCTCAATCCACTTTTCCCTTGGGTGGGCACACACTCACTCAGCTGTTTCCATGCTTTCTCCTCAAAGTCAAGGGCTCATTACCAGGGAAGAGAAGAGCCAGGATGAAAGTCGAGCCGGTGAGTTTAGGAGCAAGGGAGCCGTGAATTCATAGCAACGCCTCCTGCTCCTTACCCAGCAGAAATAAACAAATAAATAGCACATTCAGAAAATGTTGGCAAAACGTTCACCAAAGAATACCTCAAAATGGCAAAGAAAACCTCACTGACCCATAGCCCTACAGGGGACAACACCGGTGACACAGTGTGGGAATTGCACCCGATCTGATCCCGCCACACTGAGGGAAAACACTAAGGGTGTGCAACAGAACAGCA